GAAAAGAAAGAAAGAAAGAAAGAAAGAAAGAAGAAATGAAAAGAAAGAAAGAAAAAAGGAAGGAAAGAAAGAAAGAATCTGGTTTGCCTCCCCAAGTGATGACTTCAGAACCGTGGATTTTGATGCCTCACTTGCAGGTTGAAATCTTTCAATGGGCCTGTTTTTAGGTTCTGATATATTTATGAATAGAGTCTAATTTTTGGATTGAATAGAAAATTGAATCTCCTTCAGTTTTAAAATAATTGAAGCTTCCTCAGTTTTTGTTGCTCAGTCATGTCCAACTCTTGTGACCCCATTTGGGGTTTTCTTGGAAAAGATGCTGGGGTGTTTTACCATTTCCTTCTCCGGCTCATTTTACAGAAGAGGAACTGAGGCAAACAGGATTAAGCAACTTGCTCAGGGTCACACAATCCAGTCTGAAGCCAGATTTGAATTCAGGAAGATGAGTTTTCCTGATTCCAAGCCCAGTGCTCTATCCGCTGTACCACCTAGCTGCCCAGTTTGCTATTTATATTTGCTTAATGAACTACACAGTCACTATGGGGTAAAAAGCATGCCAAAGGCAGGATATTAGCATTTTCTCAAGCCATTTAGTTTTAGAAAAGCTAATTTTTAATTATGATTCATATCTGTTATCTTCTTATATACTAGTCCCAAAAGAACATACCTTCTAGAGACCCAAGGTTCATAGGTAATATAGGTTATTAAAAATGAAACCCTTCAGAAGTCTAATCCATTGAAATGTTACTCATGAGTAGTTTCAGCACTCATTAAAGAATTTGTAGTTATTAGTTTTCCTAGCTATACAAACTTGGTGCTTAAAGGTATTATGCATAGGTTTACATTGGATATTATCTGATGAAAATATTTTAAATCTGGGTTGAGGCTTGGGGCATTTTGTACGAGCTTCTCTTCAGTGGTTGACAGGATGACTTCTCAATGCTGCATGACTGAATAAGGGATACAGTTGAGACTAGAACTCAGGAAAAGAGAAATCTTTCTTCTTGCTTCCTGCTTTGATAGAACATATGAGGTACTAGACCTGCTTTGGAGAGAAACCCAGGAAGCAATTAGTTGAGCTGAGATACCTAAATCCCAGTGGATCCCTAGGCTCATTCACTCTATATTTTCTGGAATATACTGATCTGTATAACTTCTCTGATTTTTGTTTGCTCTTTGCTTGGATAAATGGGTTTATTTGCCTTTTACTAATTGTGATAGTCTTTTGTGTAACTAGCATTTGGTAGGAAGGAACCAAGAACTGTACTCTTTCTATAAAGGATTATCTAGGGGAGCAGCTAGAATCTAAAAAATAATTTCCCTGAGCCTAACAATATTTATGAATACAGATAGATGTAATTTTAGTCTGGTACTTCCTCCCTTAGGTGAGCAAAACAGAGAGTGTAGTAGTCTCAATCTTCTGCCCCCTTCCAGGCAGGAATAGAAGTGTCTCTTGGAGAGGGGAGTCCAAGATTCCAGAGATATGTATTCATGCTTCCCTGTGAGTCAAATTTAGACAACTCACGTGCATGTTCATATAACCTACATGGGCAACAAACACTCTACATGATTCTTGCATGTTATTTATTTTGGGGCAAGAAGTACAATAGGGAGGAAAGCATAGCGTAGTGGAAAGAGTGCTGGATTTGAAGTCAGAAGATATACGTTCAAATCCTCATTGTCACTGCCTGAATGATGGTGGGTAACCTAATTAACTGCTTTGGGCCTCACTTTCTTCATGGGTAACATGAAAGGGTGGGACTAGATCGTCTCTATTAGAAAGTTTCTTCCAGTTTAAATCTATGATCTTATGAACAAATAGTGGCATCCAAAGATGTAATTGATTTAGGACAGGTGACTTGAATTCATCAAGAGCCCCTCAGCAGACTTTTACTCTCTCCTTATTTGTTTTGATTATCAACTACCAATTAATCATTTTTTTTGTTTTGTCCTTTCCAATTCACAGATTTCCAGAGGTAAAGAAAAGAGAAACAAAGTAAAAATTAAGAAGCTCTGTCTTTTTTTTTCTTATCAATCATCATTGTTCTATTATCAGTCCTATCTCTTCTTTCATCTTATTCTTCTTCCCAATACTCTTTGTTAGGCCCTGAGGATAGAAAAAAATTAAAGATATTACACAGTCAAGAAGCTTACATTCATGGTTATCATTTAAAGTAAGCAAAATCAAGAGTTCAAAAGTCTCTCAGCCAATCAGGAGTCACACCTTCTGCCAGTGATCACAAGAGGTTTCCATTGTACCAGGAGGAATGGCATATATACAAATAAGTATAAATAGGGTAAAATGTAATGGGGGCAAAGACAACATCAAAGCAAAACACTCTGGGAAAATTTGAAGTAGTAGAGAACACTTCCAGAGTTGGTAAAATCAAACCTGAGCCTTGAAGGATATGGTTTGAGAGGTAAAAATGAGGAAAAAATACCTTCCAATCTTAGGGGGTGGGGAAGTTTCAGGAATACATAGAATCATGAAGCAGTTTTTTTTTTCTTCTAGCAAACAGCCAGGAATCCAATACATTGAAATAATGATGGAGCCAAATTGTTGGGGACCTTAAATGTCAGATTAATGATATCATGTAAATTTAAATGAATAATTAATTACAGCAAATATATCTTATACCATCTAACAAAAATTTTTAGAGCTGAATGGATCTTTCTATGGCTTTATTAACAATAGCAGTTCCCTGTTGCCCAAAATGGTGCTCCCAGATATGAAAGTGGTCACTAATTGATCAAATGTGCAAATCTAGATTTTCTCTAAGTGATGCTGAAAATCATATTAACTTTCTATGCCTATAACAAAGGCCCAAAGCCTAGCAGAAATCAGTTGTGATTGAAAAGACATCATATGGTTCTTAAAGATGCTTAGTATGCTCTCACTCTCCTTCCTTTGTATTTTATTTTCATATTTGAGGGAGAATTATGCATGTGTTTGCCACAGCCAGATGTTTAGATTTCTCAGCCAAGTGAGATACGGAATTATTGAAAGAAATAGGAATGGCTAAAGAAGGAGGTTTACCTTTTGTAATTGTGATGTGTGGGTGTATAAATTCTGTGAACCAAATTGAATCTCAGTGAGCTTAATGAATATGAAAAAATTCTTTACAAGAATGCTTTAAATGTAATGTAATTTTTTAGCCTATTATTTCTGGTTGAAATGCTTCATTAGCCACATGTTTGGTGTTCTCTTTTGGATAGGGACCCGACTTGTCATTTCATTTTCATAAAGAACCTCCAGGTGATGAAATTCCCTCTTCTAATGTAGGTTAGAACCTTCTCTGCAACTTAGTCTTAGACTAGAGTTGCCTAGAATACTGAAAGGTTAAATGATTTGCCCAGACCAAAACAGCCAGTAAACATTAGAGAAGGCACTTGAACACAATTCTTCCTGGCTTCGGGGCCAGCTCTCTATATACTACACCAAACCTACTCTTTCCATTTTTGGAAACAATTGCTAAAGCAAACTTTTACAATGTTTTTTAGAATATTTTTTAATCTTCTTGTCAAACAGCACAAACTGGTCATAAGGTATAGCTACATAAAATGGGCAACTTTGATCTGCAGCTAATTTATTTTAACTTCTTAACCTCCAAGGAGGCAGGGGAATTACCTTTATATCTCCCTCCAACACAGTGCTTTGAACATGGAAGGTGTTTAAAAGTTGGTTGTTGGAATAAACACAAGAACTTTGATATCAAATCCTACTCTTAGTATAATTTGGCTGATGAATGCTTAATAATTGGTAGATTGTCTTTAGAACTTTTATCAATGAGGATAAAAATATCTGTAGCCTCGAATATTGTAGAACTACTAAAGAATATGTCGATCAACTCTAAACATTTTAATAGCTTACTTCTTTCTCTGTTTTAGGCGGGCTTTCCATGGGAAATTGTAAGATAAAAACATGAGTCAAAAAATGCTACTAGAGAGTGCTGAAATTTTTTTTACATCATTTTTAATGCCATTTTGTCTTTTCTTCCCTATTATATTTCCTCCATAATACTTCATGGTAAATCTCCTTCAAATGAATCATTCAATTAAAATTATTTATGAAGCCCCTATTATGTGCTAGCACTGTGCTAAGTACTGGGGATACAAAGACTAAAGTGAAACAGTTCCTACCCCAAAGACCTCGTATTCTAATGGGAGAGACAATATGACCTAAGAGACTAGTGTACCTTTATCAGAGAGCAGGGAAGGGTAGTGGTGGCTCTGGAAACCTCTGAAGTTTCTCCTCCTCCTCCTCCTCCTTCTTCTTCTCTCTCATTCTCTCACTCTCTTCCTCTCTTTCTGTCTCTCTCACTATCCCTTTCTCTATCTACCATCTATCTCTATCTCTTTCATTGTGTATCTACATATACACATATACATGTATTCGTATGTCTGTATACATATTTGTATACATATACACATGAATTATAGATCCATATGTGTATATGTCACTTTATAGGAGAAGGGTCTGGGATAGGAATCTCTCAGGGTACTTTCCTCTCGAAATTGAGATTGTATAATGTGAGCACAGACAGGGAACATGATAGCAACCATGGGAAAAAGAGAAAGCATGCAAAAAGGAAGAGTAGGCAGGTATAAACTTGGAAGAAAAAAGTAGTGGAATGAGCAATCCCATGAGAAGAGAAGGGGGAGGAGGTGGAATGGACTTAGATAAAAAGCAGAATAATCATTGGGAGTAGCAATTAAAGAGCCCACAAGGCTCTCTGATGGAATAGGAGGAGGCCAATCACATGGGGAGAAAGAGCTCAAGAGCAGAGAAAACCAGAGCAAAGCAGCACAAGACTAGTGGTCACTAAGAGATGGAAGAATCTGGCCATGGAGCTAAAGAGTCACAAGAAACATGAGGAGTCTGCATAGCGTAATCCAGCATGGAGTGATGATTCTACAGCTACAGAGAAGTGGGGCAGGAAGCATCTGCCTTGCTGAAGGTGCCTGGAGGAAAAGAAACTCAAGAGATGGATGTCATGATTCTAAACTGTGTCCTTCCAATTTTGTTGTGGCAAGAGGGGATTTTATTATCCTGTGGTGTGAAAGATGGAATCCATTTTTATGGGTATGGATAATGATTACTATTCATTTAATTCCCTGTCATTTATCTTCCTGTTCTATTTTACTTAAATATATTTTTACTCTTGAAATCACAAGTTTTGATTAGTTTGACATAGAGCTGGGCATGGATAGAGGCTTAGATCATAGTTCAGATGACTCAAAACGGTACACTGAACCTGGGGAGGAGACTTTTAGAATCCCTGTCTTCCTTCAAAACCCAGCTCAACTACTACTTTCTGTTGTCCTCCTCAGCTGCTAATATCTTCCCCCCCCGCCCCAAGCCTATGGTCCATTTATGGGTTTGTTTCCTCTATGAACCTATTTATGTGCATGTTGTCTCCCTCGCTGGAATATAAACTCCTCAAAGGATGGGACTATTTTTTTCTTCATATAATCAATGATTAGCACAGTGCCTGGCATATAGTTAGTGTTTAATACATGCTTGTTGATTCATTGATTAGTGAGGTGTTGAAGAATCATGTGGGGACCTTGAGAGGGATCAGGTCTATATTATTACAATTTGGGCTATTTAGTATTTTTACTGCATTTTTTTCAAAAACAAAGATAAAATATACTAGCATTTAATACAGTTGTGTTTTTTATTTTGTACACTTTTCGAGGAACATAGGAAGGGCTTAATTAATGATTATATTAATGACACTCGGAGAGGGAGTGGTATGAATAATTGACACTTATGGCTAATGACTCCTCCGTATATCAAAGGATCTGTGATTTTATTCATGTAGATTCTCTTTCCATCAACAAAAATCATAACCTAACCATACCTTGGTTGAAAGTTTCATGAGTTGCAATGGCCTATGATGAACTTTCCATACTTAGGGTGGTTTTCAAGAAACAATTCCCCACCAGAACCATACGTGCAGCCCTTGCAGTTTGGTAGGATCTATTAGAGGGTACATACCTTTGAGAATATACATTATGATAAAGTATTATTTTAGGTCTAGTAACTAATTATACTTTAAAAATACATATTAGGGGGGCAGCTAGGTGGCACAGTGGATAGAGCACTGGCCCTGGATTCAGGAGGATCTGAGTTCAAATCCAGCCTCAGACACATAACACTTACTAGCTGTGAGACCCTGGGCAAGTTACTTAACCCCATTGCCTAGCCAAAAGAAAAAAAATACATATTAGCTATTAGTTCCACCACTAATTCTAGCAATTAATAAAAATCGTCAATTGGAATTTTACTTCTTCTCCCTCTTTTCACATATATTCCTGTACCCATCAGGGCAAGTACTAAGTAGCAGATATTTGGCATCAACAAAGCCCAAAAGGAATTAAGGAGAAGCATTATTTTGGATAATCCAAAACAAGTTAACTAGTCCTTAAGTAATTGATAGTTGGCTGAATTTACAGCCTTGATCAGCATGGAGACATCCATTTAATGTATAGAAAATACAAACCAAGGGAAATGAAAAGTGAGCTTTCATGGCTAAAGTACCATGTAAGAAGAACCAGAAAAAGAAAACTAATGAGAAAAATTATATACTAATATAAGTTTGAATCATAGTAGCATTTTTAGGTTCTTACAACTCCAGACCTATAAGTTATATAAGGGCTAAAGTTCAGTAAAAATATAAATTTCTAAATCTGCTGCAAATAGTACACACTAAATCCAGTGACATACCAGTCCTCTTGTTCATTTTCATCACACCTTCACCAGACCAAAGAATATTGCCAGAATGCTATAAACCATTGTTTATCCATTATTGTATATTAAATAGTGCAAGTGCCAGCCCTGGAATCGGGAAAACATCTTCTGAGTTCCAATCTGGCCTCAGACCCTTACTAGCTATGTGACACTTAATAGTGCTTGCCTCAGTTTCCTCATCTATGATATGAGTTGGAGAAGGAAATGGCAAAACCTCTCGAGTATCTTTGCCAAGAAAACCCCAAATGGGGTCACAAAGATTTGAATATGACTGAAACAACTGAACAACAGAAATAGAGCTAGTTATTAGATACATAAAAGTCACTTTATACTTGTGAGTTGGCTGACAGGTCTGGAAGTCTCCCAATTCCCTTTAACCTGCACAGTTTGTAATTTAACAGAGAACTGAAAAGCTAAAATCTCCAGTGAGCACAAATTGGGTGTCATATAGCATTGTAACTTGTAGGAGAATATAGTGACAGAATCAGCAGCTAGGCAAGAGTTCATCTCTGGCCTCAGGTACTTACTATCTGTATGACCCTGGTCAAGTCACTTAACCCTGTTTGCCTCAGTTTTCTCACCTGTAAAATGAGCTGGAGAAGGAAATGACAAACCACTCCAGTACCTTTACCAAGAAAACCCCAAATGGGGTCACGAACAGTCAGATGTGACTAAAAGGACTGAACAACAACAAAGGTAGCAGGATTGTCCTTGAATCTTACACACCAAAACATCTTTTTGGATCTAGTTTCTCAATGGTCTCTAAATCTCATGAAATAGAATTTATCAACATATTTGTAAATGTTGCAGTAGAAAAATACAATTTCTGTCAAGAAATCATTAGTAAGTATGAATGGTTCTCATCACAATGACTTTTTTTCTTTCCTCAAATGCATTTTTAACTCTAACAATATGACACTATGTACCACAATGAAATCACAATGAACTAAAAACCTGCGTGGTAATGGCTATGTCTGTGTTCATGTCTATGCCTCTTTTAGTCTGCATCTCTTTTTTATGTTGATATTTATACTCATAGGTAGTGTCTCTTAGATTGTGCTATATGTAACCATGGAATGCAGTAAACAGTCCAAAAAGTTTCATAAAGAAGAAAGCTTTAATCCTGGGTAGGCATGTACAAGGAGCTCATCTGTTTTTTTCTGTTTGTGACTCTCATTCCTAATGCATTTGGTCAAGGTGGACAGTTATTGGAAATTCATTAAAAGTGATTACATGAACAAAATCTTGGCTTCTTTATGGTATAGAATTAATCATTGAATGTTCTCCAAAATATATCAAAACTTATGGCTCAGGCTATGTGATCTGAACTCACATGGACAAGCTTTCAAAACTACACAATAATAACTCTCTGAAATTGACTCGTGTCTCTGAGGACCCTTCTCCACCTGATGGTACTTACTCTCATAAATATTCAATGTACAACTGTATGACTAGAACAAAAAGAACCAGAAAAAAAGCCAATAGAAATGACTTTTTATCCTTTCTACTAGAATGTTACTCCCCCCATGGGTCTTGGCATTGCTAGTTCACAGTTCATCTATCCCTTAGAAACAGTGGACATTTCCTCTTTGCTTTCTCTGTACTATCTGACCATTCTTTTTTTAATCATTATGTTTTTCTTCCCTTGAATTAGTGACAACTGACTTTACTGGTTTTCTCCTACTTTTCCTTTTATAGAATACCCCTTGCTTTGTTATCTTCAAAGCATTCCTTATATTCTTTCCAACAGCTAAAATTCTTACCCTCCTACCTCTGACTATTACTGCATTAGAGCTTGGGTGGGAATTATGAATCAAAGGCAATGAGCAAGCTAACATGATGTCAGGGAAAAGAAATTGAGAAAGCCCTAGAAAGTCAGGAAAGTGTTTTACATGTAAAGTGTTGTTAGGAAGTCCCAAGTGACTAAACACTGATGCAGTGATTTGACATGGCAAATACGCGATTTGCCACAGTGGTTACCCTAGTATGTTAGCTACAATAAATACAGATAACTAAGGGTCTCGCTCCAGTGAGTATAGAGAGCAAGCAGGATTGTGCATGGTCATAGAGAGAGGTTGTTCTATTTGCCTAACTGCCAGTGCCAAGTACTCATTATAAATACACAAAATAAAGGTAGATGTTTCTATTAGAGAAGATGAAAGCTTTGGAGGACGCCTCCAGTTGAACAGAGAAGATAAAGTGTTCTTTGAAAGAATGAAAGAAAGGCTTCAAATGGAAAATGAAGAGATTGAGAGGACCCTTACCCGTATCCCAAGCCTGGAAGCCTGGGAAAGAAACTGGAGATTTTAGAGGGCACAAGTGGTGTTTTCGGTGGAGAATAATGATGACGATGATGATGATAAAATATTTATATAGCAATTACTATATTCCAGGCACTGTGATAAGCACCTTACAATTATTATCTCATTTGATTTTCATAACAACCCTAAGAGGGAGGTTCTATTATTATCCCCATTTTACAGTTGAAGAAACCAAGGCAAACAGAAATTATATAACCCTCTCGGGGTCACACAGCTAATACTTGTCTAAGGTCATATTTGAACTCAGATCTTCCTGACTGCAGGCCCAGTGCTGTATTTACTGTGCCACCTAGTTGCCTCCAAAGGTGGACCTAGGAAGTAAACAATTGCTTAAGAAAATTATGCATGAGGGGCAGCTAGGTGGTTCAGTGAACAGAGCACCGGCCCTGAAATCTGGAGGACCTGAGTTCAAATCTGGCCTCAGACACATAACACCCACTAGCTGTGTGACTCTGGGCAAGTCACTTAACCCCAATTGCCTCACCAAAAAAAAAAATCATGTGTGAGAATTGAATTTGGAATTCTAAACCATGATTTAAGATCTAGGAATGAAAGACTTTTGGAAGGGGATACATATAGAATACATCAAATATCTGGTGATTAAAAATAGATGTTCCTGAAGACCCCTGAATCTGATATGGAAGTTTTTGGATTAAAAATGGAAAGGAAAAAAATAGAAAATGGAAAGAGAAGGAAAACTATCCTCATACCCTCATATATCTGCCAAGTCAGAGACTACAGATATACAGAACCATTGATGGTTATATACAAATATACATCAATGACATGAAATCATTAATGATTACCTTTTGGGAATTTCATCCTTGAGAACTTTTCCTTCCTCTTGAACTGACTTCCCTTAAGAATTTTAGGCCATTGGATTGTACCCATTTTTTTTCTCTAAGCTGTACGAAATCTGTTCTCTAATGTTTACATAAACCAAATAGGCCCTGTGCTCTTCTTATCTCTCATGAATTCTAAGATGCCACACTCTCTTCATAGTTTCATTCATTTCAGTTTCACCAGCCAGAACATTTTCATCCATCAAAATCAGATCAATAATGTCAGTTCTCTTTTCTTCCGAGAGCTTGAATTACCAGTAGTTGGTCAATTTGTACAATGTTATTTTTTATGACAACAGTATTTTAAAATTTCCCTTGAAACTGAGACCCAGAGAGGGGTTCATACTAGAGCTAACGTCACTAATTCACCATATTACCTTTGAAAATTCTATTTATCTCACTGTACTTGGTGTCCACATCTATGGAGGTATAGGGTTAGACTAGATGATCTTTGAGCTCTCTTCCAAAGCGTCTCCATACTCCTTCTCCCAAGATTACCTAATTTCATTCTATATATGATTGCTTTGTATGTTCTTGTATATGCACATGTTGTTTTCCTCAGTGAATAGAACTCCTTGAAGGCATGACAGTTTCATTTTCATCTTTTTATGCCTAGTGCCTTGTATAGGGTCCAACAAATAGGAGGTGCTTAATAAATTCTTGTTTGTGGGAAAAATACATAAAAAAATTTCTCACCAATACAAGAATAGTCTGGTAGCTAGAAGACTAAAAAAGCACCAAAGTTGAACATTTAGCTTTTTATTATTAGTGAAAGCTTAACTCCCATAGCTACCCTTATCATTGTTTTATAAAATAAAAAAATATATCATTTACAAGGAGAATGGTTAGAACCTAGGAAAACTTATATGAACTCATGCAAAATGAAGAGAGTAGAACCAGGAGAACACTGTACATGGTAACAACACTATTGCAGCAATGATCAACTGTGGAAACTTAGTCATTCTATGCTATACAATGGTCCAAGATATTTCCAAAGGATTCATGATGAAAAATGTTATCTACCTCCAAAGAGAGAACTGATGAACTCTGAATGCAGATTGAAGCATACTTTTTCACTCTATTTTTCTCTCTTTTTTTCAATATGATTTATATGGAGATATGTTTTGCAGGACTTCATATGTATAATTAATATTGCCTGCCTTCTCAATGGGTGATGGACGAGGTGGAGGAAAGGAGTTTAGAACTAAAAAAATAATTAATATTAAAAATAAATAAATAATAAAAATCATTTAAAGAAATAAATGTTCCAATATTCTAAGACTCCAATGAGTCTGTGATCTCAATGATATGCTCTTTCCATCAATGCAGACTGCATCCCATGTGTTAACCAAGCCTATGCCTGTAAAATACAGTTTTTGGCAGGTTCTACCAAGATGGAAGGAGGCAACTAGGTGGCTCAGTGGATAGAATGGTGGAACTGGAGTCAGGAAGGCGTGAGTTCAAATCTGACCTCAGACACTTACTAGTTTTATGAATCTGAGACAATTTACTTAACCTCTATTTGCCTTAATCTACCAGAGAAGGAAATGGAAAACCACTCCAGTATTTTTGTCAAGAAAACCTCATGGATAGTACTGGTGTGCTGTGGACTGTTGGATCACAAAGAGTTGGATATGACTGAAGAGTGAACAACAACAACGAAAACCGTGATGGAAAGGCTTTAAAAATGGTCCAGGAAATGTTTCTTTTCTGTGGATCAGTTCAGAGACTATCAGAAAAGACTCATTATCGGTAGGCTGGTCACTTAGTGATGGATTCTGTGGCCATGGCAAACTATGAGATAAAAGAATAAATATGTGAATAGAATATCATAGAATAAGGTTATTACTAATGTACATTGTTTATGTGAGGTCTATATTCCTATTGATTCATCTTGTTACCTGACATAGCAGGACAGTGCTATGTGTCTGATATCCTTTCCCTGGTTTTCATGTTTTATGGTGCCCAGAGACATGAAAACCTATGTAGTATCCCCACCCTCTGTTGCGTCCTTCTCATCATGCCCAGAGTGCCAGGGTTTGGGGTAAAGACAGAAAGAGAGGAAGAGAGGTATGGCAGCAGACATGTCAAGCTCAGAATGAAGTGGAAGTGGGAAATAATAATAATAGCTATACTGGGGCAGCTAGATGGTGCAGTGGACAGAGCACCGGCCATGGATTCGGGAGGACCTGAGTTCAAATCCAGCTTCAGAAACATAATACTTACTAGCTGTGTGACCCTGGGCAAGTCACTTAACCCCATTGTGTAATCAAAAAAAAATAATAATAGCTATACTTTAAAATGACACTTTAAAGACATGTTCTCTTTCCTTATAGAAATGACCTAACAGTCAGTAAGTGTCTGAGGCAGGATTTGAACGCAATTCTTTCTGATTCCAGGTCCAGCACTCTATCCCATTGTACTGGTTGGCTACCTTACCCTACATGCTGGTGGTTGATCGCATTCATCCTTCTCTGTGATAGTTAAATGTGGCCAGATGAGATCAGAGGTTCTCGCTTTCACCACACAGACAAAGAGAGGGGACAACCAACTTACTTGAGTGCCAGTCCCCACCAGATCCTACATTCCATTTCCTGTGACATGAATGAACTGTCACCTTGGTGTTAGTGTTTCTGTGTTTCTACCTGATGACTAGTCCCATTGGAAATGTAAACTGAGCTTCATGTGGTAACTCAATTGTTAGTTCTAATCTGTCTGCTAAAAGGAGATCTTAAATTGTATTTGTGTTAAAACTCTTAGGTGCAGATGAATACTATGTCTAAAGGACTTCTGAGTTGTTGAGTAGTTTTATTGATTGATTCTATGCTAAGTAACAAGACTGTTTATAGGTGGATGGGTTTGCTTTTGTAGGAAACTAGTGTCTTGGCAAGATCACGTGACCAGTTCAGGAAAATAAATCACATCCAAAAGGAGGCAGAGTAGGCTATTAAGAAACGATTTGGAGCTATGATTTTTTTTTTTTTTTGAGACTAGATCTTCTTATCTCAGGTAGGCTGAAAGTACAATGATCACTCATGGGCTCAATCCCACGACTGAGTAGATTCCCACATACTGGGGATATTCACTAATCCACATACCTCTGGACTACGAGTGCACTAAGAGGTAATAAAAGTTGAGGGACAGAACATTTCAGAGTCCCTGCTATCCATAGAATACCTAGCATTAGCTGAGTACTCACAACTTCTGCCTCAGTGGGACATGCAGAAACTTTCAGGGTGACGACCAAATAAATTTTCAAATATTTGTGTGGAAATGGGAATTCTTGGCTTTCTGCAAGCATATAATACTTAAAGAGTACTTTAAACATTGACTAATACAACCACAAGGTCTAAAGTTTCCCTTGGGGTAGAATCAAAGGGCCCTAAGTTATGCCTTGTCATTTCTCTACTTTCTCCTAGTAATGAAGTGCAATTAGTCTTTCATCATCTGATTTCTTTGTAATAAAATAATTTATGCAAACTCAGTTCCATATCAGAAGCCAGTCTCGGTGTCAAATAGCTGTTGAGGTGTTAGCAAAGCTTGATTAGTTACAGTCAATTGAAGTCTTTTTATTGACTCACTGTTGGGAAAGGCACTTTGCATCATCCATCAGAGTTAAAATTAAGAATCAGATCATTATCTCTCTGGACACAGTTCACTTCTGGCTTTCATTTTTGCTTCCGACTCTCGAAACTGTGAAAGAAAAGAACTGAAACAGTAGAATAAGCAGAGATATTAAATATGGTAGAAAAGGCTGTCAAACCTTTAGATGGGTGGAGATTACTGCAGGCAATTTGATCATAGCAGGGAAGCACAAATAAGGCCTTTCAAGGCAGCACTTTGGATCAATATGCTATTTTAAATGCTTTTAAAGCCTTAAAGTCTTCCAAAGCTTTACGTTGCTGTGAATCATAAAAAAGATGTGTGTGACTATTACCTAATAACATGTTTGCAGATTTAGGTGAGTGTTATCTGAAGATGGATGACACTTCGGAATGTCCTAGGCAGCCTACATCCTCATCTGTTTTTCAAAAGTCACTCTTACAATCAGTTGACAGACCTTTTTTTTTTGTTTGTTTAATGGTTTGCATTAAAAAGAAAATCTGAGGAAAAGGTTAGATTCTGGAAAGACTACAGAGATGTATTTTTTTTTCCATTTCTAAAATCAGAGAGTGATCACCGATTTCTCATCACAAATTCATTTGACTGAAGTACTTGTTTTCTTTTTAACCAGGACAAGGAAGAACAATGGAAATAGTTACGTTATAATTTGGATTTAATGTTCTACCAGTTATGATATGCCTTTTTTGAAATTCAGAAGACTTAAAACATTATCAAGCTAACTTCTATCAGCTAGTGACTTCTATCAACTGAATGTTGGAGGGCAGGAGGCTTGTGCTACACCAGGAGGATCAATATTATTTGGTAAGTGAAACAGAAGGACTCATCATTATGTATGTTTGAATGCCAGAAACTGATTTAAAAACATTGCCCACAGTTATTTACTTTAAGAAAATTACATTTGCACCTGCAGCCTTATGATACTTGGCATGGCTCAGATTGTTGGCACACTTGCAACCACATCCATGATGCAAAGCGTAATCACAGAAAAGCATCACATGTGTGCCAATTTCTGTGTTGTGATGTTTTCTAAAGCAGGGTGTAAAGGTGGAACAAATATATATACACACAAAATGAATCTTGTGCCTTCTTTTCTATATTCATCTTTTATTCTATGATTGGGGTCACAAGTGTGGAAAGAGCACACAAGCTGTGACATGGCAAAGAAAAGAGAATAAACATCTGCAAAATTATCAAAGTACTCTCCTGGCCTCTGGACAATTACATTAGATGCCCTAGATTCAGATCTCAGAGGGAACTTAAAGAGCATTCAGCTTCACCCCCTCCCGTTGTTTTATGGATGAAGAAATTGAGGGTTAAGGAGGTTTCAACTTGCCCAAGCTCATCCAACCAGTAAGCAGCAGATTTGGAATTTGAACCTGGATCCTTTAGACTAGGACTTGCTCATTCCAGAGTATTCCAGCATTCTTGGGCACCCCCAGTTCTGGCTCTATGCATGTGTATGCTGATGTTTGAACATGGCTCTTTCTTCACAAATTATTTCTATGATAAAACGTGGTCTTGATAGCTAAACTATGATAGCTAAATTAGTATAAAAATATGGTCTTGATAACAAAACCAGGGAGAGTCAAAACAGAGAAAGAAAACCATGTACCAATATTCCTAATGAACATTGGTGTAGACAATTTAACAGCAAGAGGCTATAGAAACATATAAAGACTATAATCCGGTTGGATATATCCTGGTGCTCTTTTAATATTAGGAAAACTGTGGCCAAACAAAACTGGCCATATAAACAACAAGAATGACAAAAATAATATGATTATATCAGTAGAAGCAGAAAAAGAAATAAAATACAACACTCATTTCTATAGAAAACATAGAAATAAATGGGCCTTTCCTCACCATGGCAAATAATATGTATCTAAAACCAAGGGCCAGCATTATATGCAAAGGGAATAAATTAGAAGTATTTCCAATAAGGTCAAAACAGGAATGGCCATTTCCACCATTATTACTTAATGCAGCTCTAGAAATACTAGCATTAGCAATAAGACAACAAAAAGAAATTGAGGGAAGCATAGGCAAAGAAAAAGCAAAACTATTGCATTTTGAACACGATATAGTGCTGTACTTAGAGAACCTTAGGCAATCAACCAAAGTGGATTGACATTATTAGCTTCAACAAAGTTGCATAATATAAAATAAATTCATTTAAATCATCAATATTTTTATATTACTAATAAAATCTATCTGGAAGAGTTAGAAAGAGAAATTCAACTTAAAATAATTACTGAATATATAAAATAATTGGGAGTTTACTTACCAAGATACACACAAAATACAATTCTAAAACACTGTTTATGGAAATAAAGGCAGACCTAAATAATTAGAGAAATATTAATTGTTCATGGGTAAGATGCACTAATATTATAAAAATGACAATACTACCTAAATGAATTTACTTATTCATTGATACATCAATCAAACCTGAAGGATTACTTTATAGAACTATAAAAATAATATAAAAATTTGTTTAAAGGAACAAAAGTTAAATAATCTCAAAAGAAATAATGAATATATGCATATACATATGTATATTATATATGTGTGTGTATGTATGTGTGCATGTGTGTATATATTTATGTACACACACACACACACACACACACACATATATGAAGGAAAGGAGTCTGGTGGTATCAGGTCTCAAACTATACTATGAAACACTAACAAAAGAATTTGGTACTGGTTAAAAAATAAACAAACTCTGCAGCAAAACAGATTAGGTACATACCATATAGAAGCAGATGAATCTAGTAGCCTAGGGTTTGATAAACTAAGAAAACTCAGCTACTAGGATAAGAACTCATTTAATAAAAACTACTGGGAAAATTGGACAGCTGTCTGGTGGAAACTAGGTTTATGCTAAAACCTATCATCATATGTCAGGGTAAGCTCCAAATGGATTCATGATCTACATATATAAAGGTCTTATTATAAATTAAGAACAAAGAAGAAATTACCTTTCAGATTTATGGATGGGGTAGAATGTATAACAAATGGTGGAGGGGCTGTGGAAAAGCAGGTGCATTGATGAACTGTTGATAGAGCTATCAATTATCAATACTCATTCTGGAAAACAATTTGGAACTATGTCCAAAAAAATTGCTAAAACTGTACATGCCTTTTGAATCAGTGATACTATTGCTACCAGGTCTATTCCCCCAAAATAAAGAAGAAAATTATCCATATGCACAAAAATATTTATTTCACTCATGCAGCCATACAGTGAAAGTAATGGGTTCTCTATACCACATAGATCCCCTCTTCACAGTTCAATATCTCATAAATTACCCCAGTGCCTCTTCACAGTTGGGTCCTCAGGATCTAGGGGCTCTCCTCTTATCTTTTTAAGGGGCTGGATTATGTGGCTCTATCCTCTCTTAGAATCAAATGAGCAAGAGACTCTACCATTCCTTCTTGCTGCATACTCTGGCTGACTTTACTAGCTAGGACTTAAGGTATGAAGGCTTAGCGGTTGTTCAACTCTTTTCTTTCCTCTCACCCCTAGCCCACGCTCTAATAGAGAATTTATTGAGTGTGAGTGGAAGACACTATGCTAAGCCCTTTGGAATATGGATATAAAAAAATAACATGGTTCCTACTCTTAAAAACTTTACATTTTAAGAGAGGAAAGCAACATATAAAGGGGAGCTGGAAAAGGGGAAGGGGAGGAAGGAAGATATTCATCCTGCAAGGTATTTTTGTCAAGGAAAAAATGAAATAATAGTTTTAAAGTGCTTTGCAAACCTTAAAATGCCATATACATGTTAGCTATGATGATGAAGATGATGATGATGATGGTGGTGGTGATGATAATAACGACAGTGATATCTGACTAGTCAGGATTTGTAAGAGTCAGAAATAACTGATCCAATTGCTACACTTGTGTCTATGAAGTATTAAAAAGCAAAACTGAACCAGAACTACAGGATGGCCTCCATTGTGTTGGATGGGTCCTCTATCAAGTATTTATGGAAATGTGGATAAAAAGACACATGATATAGCAAGTATGGATATGTTGTGATTTATATAAGAAAACAGCCACATCAGTGGAATCACAGATGCACAAAAGTGTAAAATCACATGTATACAAAATTAAATTAAGCTCTGTTGTGTAGTTTTGTATTTCCTTTACCCAGAATTGGGGGGCAGTCAGAGAAAATGCAAGAAGATGAGAGATGGAGTGTCTTGTCTGTGGAATATCCAGAAGATCAGTATTGCTGGATCAAAAAAATGTGCTGGGGACTAAGTTGTAAGAAGACTAGAAAGGTAGGAGGGAGCCCTGTGGAAGATAGACAGCACCAAACCACTCACTGTCAGAGAAGTTTTGGCTCCTCTTTTTATCTGAGGAGGCTGGCTACATTAGCAACAGTACCCATAAATCTATTGGAATGCACTAGTTCACATAAGCATTTTATAACAAAAACATCATGTAATGGGAGAGAGCATCATCTTTTAATATATTATTTTAATATATGCATTTTAATTTTTTAGTATTATCTTTCATCTGGTACAAGTTCTTGAAGGAGTCTCTTCTATTACCATCTGCCTTGTGTGATTTTTCTCCTTGGCCATAAGCCATCTTGCTGGCCTCCCTCCCTTGCCTCCTCACCAACATTTCTTTCAAATGTTTCTAGGACATTTCCCCTCACTTTCTAGTGAATGTTTTTCTTTGCTTCTGTTCCTTGAGGCTTTTAGAGTGTAGAAAGAAAGGACTTTTTTTTTTAGTCAAGTAGTTGAAAATATATTTGTATTTACTTGATGAAAGCAGGAATCTTTTCACATCTTTCTTTCTGAACCCCACGAAAATTAAAGTTGTTGGCAATGTTCCCAGGGATAGCTTCTTTGTGGAAAATCTGTGATTTTTTTCCTATTTATATTATGGTTATCAAATTTGGCTCTAAGCAGCATTAACACATCTTTTTTGAAGCATTTCATTTTAAATTTTCCTTTTTTGCTCTGAGTTTTCTGCTGTGCCTACCCAACAAAGGTCCCAGCAGCAAACATCCTTTGTTCAGGCTCTCAGGCCACATCCAGTTCCAAATTCGGAATTATCCCACCCCACCATGACTCAAGCAAAATTATTAAATAAAATGTCCTTGTTTTCCAGATACTTGTTTCCATTTAAAATTATATTTCATATCTTACTTGGATGAGTGTTTTACCTGGGACAATCTTTTCAGATTTCATATCAATTTGCTTAAAAACCTTAATCCACCTGGAATTTGGGTCAACATCAAATACTTTTAACATTCTATCATATTGCTTTTAAAATATAGTTAGGTTTAATGGCACAGAAATGGATGGATACTTATATAAAGCATTTTTTAAGTACTTACTTTGTGCCATGGCCTGTATGTACCCTTAGAAGCCAGCTTATTCCACTATGTCTGTTCTTTTCATCTTCAGAAATTTGTATGTAACATGCTCCTAGGGTAGAACATAGAAAATCCACTCTCCCAAATTCTCTCATCAAGTTAGGATAACAAATGGTTCACTTAGACAACAAAAGAGATCACTGCCAAGGAAACTGCATTCACTTTAGTTGAAGGGTAAATCAAGTTTCATATATCTTCAATCAAATTCATCACCTCTCATTCCAAATCTTCCCTTATGGCTCATCTATTTCTGTCAAAATTACACTCACTCACTAATATTCAAATTGTTGGTGTTCTACCTTCTTTCTTAGCTTCTCCTACATTCGATCACTTTTTTTTTTTTGAGGAGGGCAATGTGGGTTAAATGACTTGCTCAGGGTCACACAGATAGTAAGTATC